CTTTTTTGAAAACAATGAAATTTATATTGGCCTCCACAATTTATTAATTTTAACCAGTGTTGAAATGGATCATAAAGATTCAAAAATATAGCATTGAATTGAAATATACAAATATACTTCTGATTCATGGATATTGATCCGTGGTTTATTTTTCATCTTTTTAGGTTATTACAATTGATGAAAAAATCTCGCGTTATTTTTTTTTGCTAAATAAAAATCTCACGTTATGACCAACTAAAATTCATATTGTCAAAAGTTTGTCGGCCCGAGAATAATCAAAGTTGTATATTTTTTTTTAAAGATCTTGAGATGTATAGAAACGAAACACATACTTACTTTGATCTCTATAACTTTTTACATTAAATTTTTAAACCTATGAAACAAATCAAAATAAGCAATTATGCATTCTCGTGTGATCACATATGAATTCCATATCTTCCCCGAAATTTATCCAAAAATGTACTTTACACAGAAGAAATCTTCTCTTCTTTATTATGGTAATGATCAAGTCAATTCAACACGAAATGGCCAAGTATGAAATAAATAGAGAGAAAACTGTTTTTCAACTAGAGAAACAAAAAATGTGTTGCAACTTGCTTAGTATTTTTTCCATGCAACTTGCGTAGTAATCCGTACGAGTAGGCAATTTCTTAAGAGACAAAGAAAATAGAAAATCAAACTTATATCGTTCATGGGGAGTCAGAAAAGTCAAACATCTGGAAGAAATTTTCGCTTTGGAGAATAATAAAACCAAGTATTAAAAATCAAAATTCGGCTTTGGAGAATATATAGTGTAACCGTTACGTAATGGTGTTATGCAACGTGTGAAGATGATCAGCCGCCAACACAGCCACACACGCGTTATCTTATTCAATCCAACCAAATTCTTAGAAAAACCCGAATCTTTGTACGGACGCATCTCATGTTCATGTATACACTCACACCAAATGTAATACCATTATGTTTAACTTCAGACATTTTAGTGTTTTTGTTAATGGAAGAATTATACACTCATTGTCCATACATTTTTATTAGAACATAAGGCCAAGCCTCTTCAAGATTTAATCGGTAGGGTTAGTGGGTTACAACGTAATATTTAGATCCAGCTAATAGAGTTCATGAATCTCAAATTAATCCTGATTTAGTTATTGATTCAATTGTCTATATAGAACATGTTTTTGTTCTTTCAATTTTGTAAACTCTATTCTTTGGTCTAGTTATCCAACCGTTTTAATTAAATTATCCTGCATGTTGAATTTTTTTTATACGGTCTTTCATTCTGATTTTCTTAATACGGTCTTTAATTTTGATTATCTTAATACGGTCTCGACTCTCATGTGAAAACTGGCGCTCCTCGGTATGTGACGGTCACGTCTCAGGACTAAAAAGCCACGTGTCAGTCACCCACGTCGTCCGTTCACCAACTTTTACTCCTCCGGCTTCTCTATATATACCGACCCAACTTGCTCTTGTACACTCTTTATTTCAATAAATCTCTACCAAACTCACAAATTTTCTCTCCCAATCCCAAAAAAATAACATTTCGAAAAAAATTTCCCCACACGACAAGGAAATTAAAAACCCATAAATCCTTTCAAAGAAAAAAAGAAACCCACATAACTACTCAAATTTATTCTCTTGTCCAAATCTTGAAAAAATATGGTAATAGCTCAAGAAACCACCAGTGCTACTAGTCATCACCGGAGACTCACTTTCGCCGCCTTCTTAAACTCCGATCCCGCCGCCGGCGAAGAAGAACAGAAGCACGACGATGACCTCAACAATCCCATTAACTCTCAACGTCAAAGCAATGTCTCGACGACGAGCGGCGATTCTTCTCCTAACCAAGTTCTATCTCCATGGAATCAGACTTTTTCACCATACTACACCGACACAACAACGACTCCGACCATGTCTCCTTCGCCGTGGAACCAGACTTACTCTCCGTACTACAAGTCTCCGTGGATCTACCAGACCCGTAACAACATCGACGATGATCAAGAACACGGTTTGATCGGTACGATCGTGAGACAAGAAGGTCATGTTTACTCTTTAGCTGCTTCTGGAGATCTTTTATTCACAGGATCCGATTCGAAAAACATTCGGGTCTGGAAAGATCTCAAAGATTTTTCCGGGTTTAAATCAACAAGCGGATTAGTTAAAGCGATTGTAATAACCGGAGATAACCGGATTTTCACCGGTCATCAAGACGGTAAAATCCGGGTTTGGAAAGGTTCAAAAAGAAAAACCGGTGGTTATTCACGAATCGGAAGCTTACCGACTCTAAAAGATTTTTTAACCAAATCGGTTAATCCGAAGAACTACGTCGAAGTCCGTCGCCGGAAAAACGTTCTTAAGATCAAACACTACGACGCCGTTTCGTGTCTTAGCTTAAACGAGGAGCTCGGTTTACTCTACTCCGGTTCGTGGGACAAAACCCTCAAAGTCTGGAGACTAACCGATTCGAAATGTCTAGAATCGATTACGGCTCACGATGACGCGATCAACACGGTGGTCGCCGGATTCGACGATTTGCTATTCACCGGATCAGCCGACGGAACATTGAAAGTGTGGAAACGAGAGCTTCAAGGGAAAGGGACGAAGCATTTTCTGGTGAATGTGTTGATGAAACAAGAGAACGCAATAACGGCGTTAGCGGTTAATTTAACGGCGTCTGTTGTTTACTGTGGAACTTCTGACGGTTCCGTTAATTTCTGGGAAGGAAAGAAATTGCTTTCTCACGGCGGGACTCTCCGTGGTCATCGTATGGCGGTTCTCTGTCTCGCCGCCGCCGGAAGTCTGGTGTTGAGCGGCGGAGCTGATAAGAATATCTGCGTGTGGAGGAGGAACGGAGATGGGACTCACACGTGTCTCTCTGTTTTGATGGATCACGTGGGACCGGTTAAGTGTTTGACGGCGGTTGAAGTGGCGGAGGAAGACGGCGAGGGGAAATGGATAGTGTATAGTGGAAGTTTGGATAAATCGGTGAAAGTGTGGCGCGTGACGGAGACGGCATCTCCGGTGATGATTGGCTGAGAGAGGAGATATCACGCGCCGTCTTAGCGCGTGGGAGATGCGGACCTATGGAAAAAGGAGAATGTTACGCGTCACATGCGATTCCTGCCTTAGTCGTCAAGGCAAGTTTTTATGGCCGGCTAAAAGAAGCAGAATCGTATAGCCAATAGGAAACTGCCACGTCATGAGAATATCTTCAAAGGTTTTTAGAAAGTTCCTCTATTTTATTCGATCTTTCTCTGTAAAAAACAGCAAAAAATAGGAAAAGATTGTGATATGTTTAGAAAAAGGAGGGGAAAAGTACTAAATATTATTTCATTGTATTAAATTGTTTTGTTTATATATTACATGGAATTCGTTGAAAATGCAGTCTTTTTTCTTGGTCATTTTGAAGACTGATGCTATTGTAAAATATGAAACTAGAATTTTAGATTTGTAATACGTACGTTAGGTTTGATTTGTTAGTTCACTTTGTTGAAAAAGAAGTAACCGTTGAAAAGTGAAATGTAAAATTTGTGCTGCAGGTGTCTTCATAAGCAAATGTAAAAAAGTCACACTTTCGTGGGATTTAAGTTTGGTACACATCTTTATTACATGTATTCACATTTGACATACATAAAAAGACCACACACCCTTCTAATTCTAATATTTTTCAAATGATTCAAAAGTCTACCATAGATCGTGAATTCGTGGTTTACTTATATTAAGAAGCAATAACCAAAAGTTATAAAATTATAAGCACAGCCAGATAATGTAATGTTGTACTGTCGTACGATAGATTGCCTATATACGCTCTTTTAAGTGTATAAATATGACTATTCGCATTCATAACTCAAATGTCGAGTTAGTAATAAAACAACATTACGTTATGTTTGTATAGAGAAACTTGTTCATAACCGAGTCTAACAAATTACCTTCCAAGGAGTTTTGAGCTTACGAATGACCATGCATATAGTACACAAACGATCAAAGGCTACGAACCAATACTCATTGCGTTTGGAAAAATCAATAAAAGCGCAAACTTAAAGTTGGTATTCTTTTTTGAGTTATTTTATAGTTGGTATGCTAGAAAATTTAAATTCGAATCTAAGATTTTAAATACGTATGGTACTATGGTAGGTTGATTTGCTAGTTCAATTTGTTGAAAAAGAGGTAGCCATGAAACTGAAATGTTGTAATATTTTTATTGTTGTCTTTATGAACGTATGTAAAAAGTCTCCCTTTCGTTGGATTTAAGTTTGATACAAATCTAAGTATAAAGTATATGCTATATCTATTCACATTGACATATGTACACACCCTTCTATTTCTAACATTATTCGAATAGCATGAAAGTCAAAAGCTAATAAATCTTATTACCAAGCAAATTATAAATAAGTTCTACAAAATTAGGAACATAACCATGTAATGTTTGTACTTGTCCGTCTCCGATTGGGCGCCTTCCGCTTCAATAATATGAGCATTCATAGTTAGTCATATAAGACTCATAAGTTGAGTAAGTTTTAAAATTGCGATATTCTTAATGATAATTAGGATAAATGTCACCTACATTTGATATAGTAGATGTATGATTCGCTTCGTAGAAAAGCTTTGTCAAATTGCATTTTGTATATTAAATAACATACATGTCATTAATATCAATGAACGTTATGATATTTATAGATTTTCGCTATAAGGTATTAACAATTGAGATTCTCCATTGGAAATTGAGAGAATGTGTATGAAGAAGAAGAGACATATCTCTATATAACACTCAACTTGATTTATAATAAGATAAGTTTAGGTTTATATACAAACTCTAAACCAACAACGAACCAAACTATACAAGAGATTACACCAAGAGTAAACCAAACCAACTATACATAGTCTACTAAATAAGGTTTTTCATATGAGTCTGTTTTAAAACTTTAGGATAAACAAACACCGTGAGGTTATGAGTCATACCTTTTTACAATTAAGGTTACAACTTTCAAACAAACACCGTAAGGTTCATTATTCTTCGCCCAACGTAATTAGGCAAAAAGCCCCACTAGGTAGGTTTTTGTCCATTTGACTTTAGTTAATTAAGAATGATTAAGCCCACAATCTTGACTATTTTATTAGTCAATGCTATTATCGTCATTTGATAGACTAATAAAGCTCTTATTAGGTTAATCATAAACTCCATTTTCTTTTAAAGTAGTAATAATTCATTTGATCCTTTATCATATAAATGCATGGATAGAATAATCAAATTATAAAACACGATTACGAAACTGACTTTACACTTTACACTTTACACTCACACACGCACTCAGCCACATGGTTTCCTAGCTCTAATAGGACCAGTGTATCCGTTTCAACGATGCTCAATTAAGGAGTAATTAAAAAAGTGTTGCATTATTGATATAGTACTATAACAAATTTGCATTAAATAATCCGCACAAACTGTCGAGAGCATTCACTTGCTTATAGGTTATAGTTATTTCTTTGAATCGTGCAACTATTTATTTTTTAGAAGAAAAAAAAACTAGACAATAATTTAATGTCGATACCACTATTCAGACTAGATACCGCACAAACAAATTATTGGACTATCCCAATTAAATTGTCTACTTTGAATATAATTCGAGACCTTTCGTCCTTACAATTTCAAAAGTAGAATAGACGATAAGCATTTTGGTTGGTATTATTTTACTCAGACTACAAAATGGATTATACGTTTATATATAAACTTGTGGATGTAATAGTTGTATCCGACCTTAGCTCAGTTGGTAGAGCGGAAGACTGTAGTAGTTGCAGATAATCTTTAGGTCGCTGGTTCGATTCCGGCAGGTCGGATTATATTTTTTGAACTTTTTTCACTCTTATGGGCTTTCAGAAATAAAAGGCAGTCCATATCTTTTCTGATGTTGCTTAAAAAGCCCAGATCAACCGTTTATAAAAAGTAAAACCCAAAAGTAGTAAGGCCAATAAATGATTGATATTATTTTTCTTGGCTCTGTTTTCTCCAACTCTTCTAACATCCTCGGTAAAAAATTGGATTTGTTAATTCAGAACTGAAGAAGCAGAAAACTTGCAGAGTGAGCTTCCTTCTGAATTTCATGTCTTGACTTGGAGAATGCACTCGAGTTTGTCTTGGAGAAAGATGACGTGGAGTAGCTAGAGTAATTTAGCTTCTATAATCTGATGCAATTTAGCTTGTGATTAGTCTCTTGATACATTAAAATGCTTGTCATTAGTAGAATCAAGAGACTAATCACAAGCCAAATTGCATCAGATTATATATTGGAGGGTTATATACCCAAAAACAAAAGATTTTAGATCTCTATATTCCATCAACGTTTGAACAAAGTACATTTTCCAAATCTCATCAAGGTTTTTGTCTCTGATTTTCACCTGATTGTTAGTGGTATATTGTTTCTTACTTTGGTAACTTTAATAATAATAACTTTTACTTCTAGAAGTTAAAAAAAAAACCTTTGATAATACACAGTAAGCAATATCTTTTGAGTGGAGAACTTTATTGAAAGAGTCTCGGGAAACTAGAAAATTAAAGTATTTTGTCACTTCACTTGTCAGATAAAATGTTATAACATCACGACAAATAACCTCTCTGCCTTCTCAGTTTCTTTCTCTTTATTGGCTTGAACTCTTCACTCTCCTTCTCTGTGAGAAAGAAACAAGAAAAGGTAAAAATGGTTACTACTCGGAAAACTAAGGCCAGAGTCACCACAGCCTCTCACCGCCGTCCACCACCGGAGCCTGAGTTTCCGGTAAAGAAGTTCTTTCAGTTGGTTTTACCCTCTGCAACGAAGAGAAACATGATGGTAACAAACAAACACTTTTAAAAACAGATTATCACTTTGCATGTGTTGATTTTTTTGTTGTATTAAACTTCTGTTGCAAATTTCTAAGGATTATATCAACAGATTCACTAAACAGCCTCCATTATTTGTGTATCTTGGATTAGAGATCTTAAAGGGGTACTAAAATGAACAAATTGTTCTTAAGACATGCAGAGAAATCCAATACAATTTCATTGTTTTTTTAACAGAGGATTCCGACAAGATTTGTGAAGCTACACGGATCTAACCTCTCTGAGTTTGCTACATTGGAGACTCCTATGGGATTCAAGCGTTCGATAAAGCTTAAACGGATTGGTGAAGAGATTTGGTTTCAAGAGGGTTGGAGTGAGTTTGCTGAGGCTCATTCCATCAATGAAGGGCACTTTCTCTTGTTTGAATACAAAGGAAACTCGAGTTTACGTTTAACAATCTTCCACTGGATGCAGTTCATATCAGTGACAATGACGAGATAATCGACCTTACAGACGAAGGGTTTCTTGGAGCTCAAGGTACAAGGGAAAATAATCAATCTGTTAATGTTGGTGATTCAGAGCACAAACTCAAGAAGTCACCAAGAGACATTGAGTTTGAGAACATTCTTAACGGTAAGAAACCAAAACAATCGGACTTTGTTCTTGATAATAATGTTACACGTATGAAGATGAGGATCTGAAATTCTTTATCTTTGTGTAGATGTTGATGCACTCAATTCAATCAAAGTGCTTA